AACTTGATGAACTGATGAATGAAGATGCCTATGAGAAATACATAAAATCCATTGAGGACTGAGCTGGAATAATGAAATAAATCCATATAAAATATTTCAGTGTAGTTTGTCATCAATCAGTGAAGTACAGAATATCCAGTTTTGACAACCTGAAAAATACCACTTCTGATCACATATACAAGGCCATAAAAAATTGCAGTGATGAAAATGTTTAACAGCTGCATACCTGCGAGGGTTTTTTATTCTGTTGTCTGATTTATGTAACTTCAGGATGTTATCTATAATATTTTGGGAAACAAAGCTTATTTGCTAAAATACATACTTCCCAAGATTCATTTGACAACCAAATTTAGTAACAACAGCCTTAATATGGTAATTCTGTGGTAGGCACATGACACTTTTCCTAACCTGGACTACAGCTTTCCCTGAAATACTTTTCTATTGCTCACAAAATATTAAAAGCAGCGTCTCCCTAACCTCCTAATATTTTTCTTAATTATAGTTGCAAAGATGATACCAAAAAAGGAGAAGCCATATCACCTACCTCTTCGTATGATTTTTACTTCTTTACAGAATGTATTCATCCTTTGTTTTCCTTCTTCATTCTACTATGGAATCAAACAGTTCTGCCTTTGAGGCAGAAGGTATGGTCCTTGTCTTCTGACTTTTATGCTTTCTCAGTATGCAAAGCTCATGCAGTGATAGTTTATCAGGGTCCTAGAGTGGATTGTTTAGGCTGTATTTTTTTGTCTAGTAAAGACTACTTATGTCACAAGTAATTAAGGACACAGTAAATCCTCTGCCTGGCAACTGTGGTGATTTTAGAAGAGTAGATACTTGTGAAAATTGTGTGATCAGTAATAGTTTGACATATAATTTATCCACGTGTGTCTGTCTTTAAGATCAAGTAGGCACACTGCTGTAATGGCATCACAGGAATAAAACTAAAACTTTCACTTTGCAAACCAGTGAACTAAAGCAGCTGCTTCCATTAGAGTTAATATTTAATGAATCTACAAATGAGCACTCAAAGTTGATGTGACATCTAAGGGTAAGGCTGAGTTGTACAGACTTGTACTTTAGGAAAACATAATAGTAAAGCAGAATTTTGGCCTAACACTTTTTTTGCACAATCTAAAAATAGTTATTAGAAGCTAAGCACGAAACAGGAACAAAATCCAAGTATCTCTAAGTTGATCTAAGAGGATGCAGGGGAGCTTTTAATCCATATGAGAGGGAAAATCCATATTCCTTTGGAAGTTCCTTTCAAAAGCACAGCCCTTCAGAAAGACGCTGCAGGTTACACAGAAACCTTTCTAATGTATAAAAAAGTAGGGCTTTCTTTTATGAGCTGGAGGGATGTCAAAGTAATTGGTGTTTTTTTGAAATCCTAGCAGCTATTTTTTCCTACGCAAGTCACAGATAAAATCCCTACTAAGAGAGACTCCACTGTGTATTTAAGATAAAACTGTCTTCTCCCCAGGAGTTAAAACACACAGTGACTAAGAAGAAAGAGTGGGTTTGACAGTTCCACAGGAGTCCTGACTTGGCAGTGGCTGATAAACAAAAGGCTCCATAAACCTAGTGTGAATGCTTTAAAAACTGTCAGTACTTATCCATTATGCACAGTATCGTGCAGTATTTATTGTGACAACGCTGAGGGCCCTGAGAGCTGGGAGCTTGATCCTGGCCTCTGTACAGACTCCCTCCATCCGTTTGGATC